TATATATATATATATATATATATATATATATATACATGGATTTAGGACTAACTTAAGTCAAACCTCATGAGGTGTTATTGGGTTTATGGCCAAAAATATTGTTAACAGTGAGAGTACCAGCTGTTGAAACAGTATATTATAATCTTTATAAGTAAGAACATAAAAAACATATACTTAATTAACTTTACTCATTACCATGATGATTTTTAGTTTTGTTCTAAGTAGGTAAGTATCTCTGATTGAAGGATGTTAATTGTTATTGTACACTTCCAGTAACACTTTGGCATCAGTATGAGGTAGACGAAGACATTTGTGCTGCAACAGTTAGATCTTATATTGAAGAAAAGTCTGCTTCCTTCCCCATGTCTATAGGTAAATACTGTTAAATGTGTTTGTTTCTTCTACCTCGTCCTGAATGTTTTAGAATTGAAACATTTACAACTGAGTAGTTTGATGTTTTCGTGATTCCAATATCTCTTTGAAGATAGAGCAGTTTTTGCATTTTGTAAGTTCTTATCATCTACTTTGTTGTTATGTATTGAATTACTGACTTGTTCTTTAGCTACTGGATTAGGTCTTGTGTAATAACTGAATTAAAAGATGAAAACTGACTCCAAAGTCCATGTTGATAGCCAACTGTCTTTTTGTCAGCTGATAAATAACAAACACCGAGGAGCTTACTTTCTTTAAACACAGCAAATTTTCACATCTGTTATAGTTTGCTAAAAACAGTTTTATTCTGTGTTTGTGAAAGCTTATTATACAAGTACGGTAATATTTTTGGTTTCATACTTCTCAAAATTAACAGAAAAAGATAATTTTGTTGAAAACTCCAAACTGCGTAACTTTTATCCATACTAATTTTTTGAAACATTTTCATTCTCTTGTGATTTGAATCAGAATCCACCTTAAATATACATATTCAATCTTTGTGTTACTAAAATGGATTGTTAAAGTGTTAATGTTTTTTTTCAAGATTATGTGTACATTAAAACTTTCATAAGCCTGTCATTAACATATAATTATTTTGCAGTGTGATGTATTAAAGCCTTTATTGAAAAAAACTGGCTTGTTTTGTAAAATTCTTCTTGTTGATACCTGATGTTTTATGCATGGAGTATGAATTGTTATTTGTACACAACAAGTTCCCCAAAAAGAAAAATCGTTCAGTTGTCATTGTAATCTAAACTGATATCACTATAAGATTGTTATCTTTGGATTAAATGGTAAATACATTAATTACTTTAGATAATGAGTTTGATTTATTACTCTGTTACTATCTTTGGATTAAGTGGTAAATACATTAATTACTTTAGATAATGAGTTTGATTTATATTACTTGCTATGCTGTTGTTTGACACTTTCTTGTTATGTAATAAAGTAAAAACAAAACAATATAATCATTTTCATTCACACACACACACACACACACTCAAAAGATATTTTCTTGCTTGCCTGTGTAACATTTCATAATCTGATAAAAATGTAAAGTAAAAGCACCGAGTAATAACATTAAATGCATGGAGTCCTTGTCACGGCACACATGTTGTTCCACAGACTACAGTATTGTGGCATGGAGTCCTTGTTGCAACACAGGTCTTGTTTTACAGACTGAAGTAGCATGTCATGGAGTCTTTGTTGCAACACAGATCTTGTTGTGCAGACTGAAGTAGCATGTCATGGAGTCCTTGTTGTTCCACAGACTACAGTATTGTGGCATGGAGTCCTTGACATGCTACTTCAGTCTGCACAACAAGACCTGTGTTGCAACATGGAGTCCTTGTTGTAGCACAAGGTAGCATAGACGCCCCAGATTTGATCCTGAGACAAAGGTCATAACTACTAGGCTACCGAGGTGTGTTTATAATCTGCGATAGATTATGTGATCCTAAGATGAATACATGTGAAAGAACTCTCGTTGATAATCCAAAAGATAGATGAAGTTTATTGTTGTTGTTTTTAAAGTTTGCTGCACACGTTTTGTTATATAGCTTAAACTTACACCCAATAAACACAAACATATCCTTGGCTCTTTGAAACTACACAGTTGTGCCATCTCCTTGGAAAAGATCTTAACGTGATTGGTTGTCTGGTGGCATTTGTAAACTTCTGTTTTAGTCATTCTTCCACGTGGATAAATTCTAGCTTTATGAGTATTGAAAGAAAGCCTGTTATTCCTGAATAATAGCTAGGATTATCAGTGATAAGCACTGAGCAAATATTCTTTTACAAATCGTTTTTTGTTTGTTTGAAAAGTATTGAATTACAGCACCAATTATGCTGATATTAAAACATTTTTTTTTTAAATTAAAGAAGTTTTATGCAGTACAATTTTTATATTTTTTGGTTGAAATCAAAGAAAATTGTTTAATGAACAGTTAACATCAGAATTTAAGATTTTAAAATAATGGTATTAATAATTTTTTATTTCTCTGTATATTTAATGTAACAGTGCTCGCTTATGAGTTTAAAATCAGAAGATAAATTGTCTTTTATTGGTTTTGTTGTCACGTTTCTTTAAATATTAATTTTTCTTTGTTTGTAAAGGTGACGATATGACGATGGAACAGAAATTACAACTCATGTTTTACTTGGTAAATTTTGTATATTCTTATTTCAATGCTTAGTGTTATTGTGTTGCTTAGACAGACCTAATGTCATCAAAATAAAGATACTTGTTATATTTACATTGGTGTAAATGCTTGTTTTGGAAGCATGTTATGTTAATATAATAGTAAATTGACAAACAACCTGAAGATAACAGATCATTGTTCTTTGTATGTTCCCCAAAATAAAATTGCTTCATTACACTTACAAATCATCATTTGTCAATTTACTATTATAAATTCTTAAGTAATGTCCAACTGTCCAAATATGTCAAGTTGGATTATATCCTGTGTTTATGTTGACTTAGTTCAGATCAGTAGTGATGACTTTCAATCATAGTTTGTGAGATAATTCTTGCTTACTGAGTATTGTGTAAAGTTATCACCAGAGGGCATTTTAAAATATCCATAATGAACATTTGAAACTTGGAAAGCAGGTTTTTCTTATCAGTAATTTTTACCAGATTTGGATCATTATTCTGAGAATCAATTTAAATCTTTAAAGTAATCTGTTATATTGATGTACCTATCATTTGAAACTAAATATTTCTATATTTAAAATACTAACATTTTAAGTAGGTTAATTATTTTTTTCAGGTTCAAAAGCACATGGTTGATTTTGACTCCACCCATTGCACGCCTTTACCAGTAGAATTATTCCAACAACCTTGGGATCCTGAAGCACTGTTGAATCAGACTGAATCGAGTGATGATCAAGAAAAGATAAAAGAATAAGCTACCATCATTAAATCAGAGACATTATAAAATAGAAAAAAAAAGAAGTTTACATCAAGAGTAAGGCCAGTGGAATATATTGTGCATGTTTTAGATTTCTTTGTGACAGGAAGTATTTAATATTTTTCTTAACAATGAGTAAATGCTGGAAAACATACAGAAACGTTTTTCTCTTGTTCCATTATTTATTTGGTGTCTTAAATTCACTAAATTGAACTATTTTTTTCTCTGTGAAGATTCTTTTGTGTGCGTGTGGTGGGGGGGTGACTTATTAAAATCCAAAATTTTTATATTTTTTAAAGCAAGAATATGTTTATCCATACTTAAAGTACAGAGAAATAAATGTTTTGTCATCCTCAGTATTTGATTCTGTTTGCTTAGAACTTAAAAAAATTAACTCTCAAAATCACTTTGATTGAAGCTAGTTAGGTTTAATGAGTTGAAAAGATCTGAATATTTGCTTTTATTTGGCAGGAGACGAAAAATTCAAAAACTGTGGGTTTCCGCATATTTTATTTCCTGTTAACAAGTTATTTTAACAACGTAAAAAGCTTTAAAAGATGGTATTTGAGTAACTTTGATGGTAAAATATTTTAAATCACATGTTTTGTTTTGTCTTAAATTTAGTAACATAAATCCTGAGTCAGATGATAAAAATAATTATGGTTAATGATTTATTAAACTCTCTACTAATGAAAAATAATTGCCGTTCACTTTTCCAAACACTAATTTAAAATGATAATGTTTTAACCTTGACTTTAAGTTAACATATCTTTCAATTTCTGATAATCTTTAACATCTAAGTAAAAATGTATTTTAGGTTTAGGTTTCATATAAAATAATTTTTTTTTTCAATCATAAGGAAAAATTAAGAACCTTTACACTTTAAACAGCAAATTTGATGACAGACCAAAGATACCACTAAAAGAGCATTAAAGAAAAATACAAAAGCATGGACTTTTGTGTACTGATACAAATTTAGATTATAGCATTTTGTTGAAATTCGTTTTAATATGTTTGAGTATATGTAGATATTATGTTTGTGATGATAATTTGATTTTTTTCCTTTTGTAATATTATTGAAATAGTTCTTAAATTTTTTTAAACACAAGTAAAGAGTTCAATATGTCTGATGAAATTTTCTCTAATTATATCACAGTTTAATTTCTTTTGGTAACTATTTGTGAACCTGTACTTTATTAAACTTGATTTAGCTATTAATTACATATAGTATTCTTGTGTGATTGACTGCTTTAGGCATAATGATTGAATCGTTACTTCATTACAGTAATGTATATTTTATAATCTTGAACACACTGAACATCTCATTCTCATCATGGATTGTGTCCTTTTTAACCCCTTTCATGATTTGCTCACCCAAAATAACGTGGGCTTCCTCCACGTTTCAAAAAATATTTGTCTAAGTTCGTTCAGGCAAGCCATTGGTTACCGTATTTTTAATTGTTTGCCCAAATTTATGTTCATTCTATCGTGTATTATAATCGGTTATCAAAAAGCAAAATAAAATAAACATCTGCCTTTTATTTAAAGTAACACTGACTCTTAAAACTGGGTTAATTTACATGCTGAGGAAACATTGTTAAACACTTATTATAACGTGCGAAACAAAAGTTTGTCGCAATCTCTAAAAGTACACTTTCAGTCATATATATATATGTCATAAACATAATTAATGTGGCAGGGATAAAGAAATACATAAAATAAACTGTTTTAACACCTTAACTTTACTTAGGAATGATAAAAACGTGTGAAAATTGATACACGTGCTTTTTTGTGAACATCCTCATAGCTCGAATTAAAAACTTTGCAAATTTCGTGCAATGTTAACAAACTATAGGCAATTATTGGAAAGTAGACTCATAGATAACAAAACAATTTTTAAAAATTCAAGCTATGTAAGAGTGTAATATCAACAAGTGTGTTAAATTTCATGCTGATATTGGCTTTAGTGGTGAAGTTATCATTCTAATAAATTGGTGTGTATCAATCTTTGCACTTTCATAGATTGTGACATGATACTTTTATTTTGCACTCAACTTGAAGGTTATAAGAAGTGTTTCCTCGGCATGTAAATTAACCCAGTTTTAAGGGTCAGTGTTACCTTAAGTTCATTTCCAAGAAAAACCTGACAAGGAAGGGGTTAAAATGCTGTGAGTCATCTTTGTTGTTCAAGGGTTTGGAGAATTAATTTTCAAGATATTTCAACTTTCTGTCGGTTTCCAGCATTTTCATTGTATTATATAGAAAAGAAAAAAAAATGGTTCTTTAAAATACCTAAATGATTAATCATTTGTATTTTTTTTTTTTTTTTTTTATAAGGTACACATTTTTGTTTGGCTTTTGAAGTTGGATTCATCGAGTGTATCTAAACCTCTCGGTTTTCTTGCCGTTTATGATATGCAAGGGTTTATCATAAAGTGTTTAAAAAACTAAGTATACACTGCTGTTTGTATAGACAATTTTCTTAACAGATTGAAACAAATCTAGATTTAATTGAATGATATTAAAACATCTGGCCAAACATTGAATAATTTTAATTTATGATGCCTCCTAATAAGCCTTCTCGTCTGAGCTTTCTCACTTTGCTAAGCTCTTTATAATAAATGGTGCAGTGTTTAAGCATATTTGTCTGTCCTACATAAAGCTGCTTTAGAATTGATTATGAGGTGACTGTGTTATTCCTTTATAATGTTTAGTATTGTATACATTTTGTAATATTAGAGTATGTGACTTTGAAGGTTTGATTAAAAAAAAATGGTATGAGCCAGATGCAGCCCAATGGTTAGTGTGTGGACTGTGGATTCGAGATTCTGTGGTTGTGCTTCACATTCTGGGGCTGGGGGTGTGTGTGTGTGTTATAAGTGTAATTGTCAAATCCTACTGTTAAGTTAGAGTAGGCCATGACTGTCAGTGGGTTGGGTTGACTAGCTGCTTTCCCTCTAATCTATCACTTCTAAATTAGGGACAGCTAGTTCAGATAGGCTTTGAGTAGCTTTGTGGGTGTAAGCATAAGTAAATGCTGGATATTTTTTAAATGTGGTAAAGTATAAAAAGAGAAACTTCTAGCAGAGGTGCTGTGGGACCATTGGATATTATCAGTTCATTACATCTCTCCTTACTTGTCTAATTAGTGTAAAAACAATGTAAGATTCAGTGACGTCAATCAAACTAACAGCACAGTTTCTATGAAGAAGACTTGTGATTATATCTGACCTTCTGATGTAGGTGCTTTCAGTTCCTTACATAAACTGAAACCTTGAATGGTCATTGGTAAGTCACAGTTTTGATATGTTTTATCTATGCATCGAAACTAACTTTATCTTATCCAGAGGCAGGTACAACTTTGAGTGAATTAATCTACCAGTTAGGAAGTAAAACCTCTCCAAATACCCAGTAAATATTAAAAAAGGTTAAAGTTGTTTGAAAGGTTAGTAAATGTCCATAATTATCTGCCGTTTAGTTGATGCATTATCTTTTGAAGTCTCTTTTTCATTTTTGATGAGTTTTTCTTTGATATATTAAATGTGATATCTAAAAACTTTAATAATAAACTATTAAAACAACATGGCAAGGATCTTGAATTACAGTCTTTCACACATTATTATAAGGTATTTTGTACAATTAAACAAGGCTTTAAATATTTAATATATCATGTTGTGTCATCTGAATGGCATAAATAGAGTATTGAAATAAAACAGTTTGGTTTAGAAGGCCAACATTCTCATCATGCCCAAAATACAAGACACTTTTGAATTGTAGTTATTCATCAGTCATTAGGGCCAGTTTAATGAAATAATAGTTTGATTTCAGGGTTTGAGAGAAAGTTCTTAATTGAAAACATGCCAATGGTACAACATAAGAACAAAATTCTTATTTCCATTTCAAAACTTTTAATCTCTTTTTAACATGCCTCCATTGTCTTTTCAAAGTGGTGGCAGTTAATTAATTGCATAATGTTCAAAGTGTTTTTTGTTTTGTTTTTGTACTATTAATGACTTGTTGTTGTTTTTTTT